GTGATGTTCTTCTCGCCTCTTGTACTCCTCCCATAAAGCTGTTGCCTCCATCTGCTGTTGCTATTTCTGTCTGTCTGAAATCCATGTTAATGTGTGTCAGGCTGGCATTTGATCAGAAGTCATTATGCGACACAAACCAAGAAAGTAAGGAAGTGGGAGGTTTACACGGGCAGAGGGGGCAGTGGATCACAAGGTAGACTGTCTGCAAAACAAGGTGACTAATGTTGAGTAAAGGTCCCGGGGACATTTCTGTTCTTTTGCTGGGGTTGAAAACAAGATTGCACCTTTTCCCGTCAGAAGAAAGCCGCAAATTCTTGTAGGCTATCATTCACATGTCAGGTTGATTATGTCAGATATGATTCAGCCAGAGGAGTTTTCTGTGACAGCTATTCATGTTACTTTACTAAATCTCTGTAGTAAACTGTATTATTAATTAATTTAGATATATATACAGAATCATAATTTCTTTGCATTTTCAAACCTTTGAATTTGTGCATAAAAACTGTTGGAAAAGAAAAGATGCAATAAAAGGTTCAAATTAAACCTACAGGTTAGCATAGACCACATATTGTAATAATGCGATGGTTAAAATACCATCTGGAGGTAAATTACAGAGGAGCACAGTGGATATTTTATTCCCCACCTCCCCCCTGTGCTGTTCGTCCCTGTTAAATCTGAATAAATACCTTCTAGGTGTCCTGATACAAAAAACAGTGGACATGGAAAATTAAGGAATCTTAATTTTGTGTCATTGTGTCTCATTTATGATTTTCCACCTTTTCACATAATCCTGATAATCAAGTTAGGTTGTGATATGATAACTTTTCACTGGCTAAAACAACAAATATGCTGAAAATGTTGTTAGAACAGTGTAAAATATAGTCACCAGTAATTAGTTTGAGCATATAATCTATACCCGAACAGAAGGCACCCACAAAGAAGGCTGATAATGAAGATTGGTAATGTTCATTCAGTCACAGTTTCAGTCTACTGGATTTAGACAGTCTCTCCAAATTCAACCAACAGAAGGACTTCAGATGTGTGGTTCACCTGCAAAATACCAGTAATATAGAGAAATTATTTCTTTAAACCCAGAGCAACTCTGCTTGCTGTGCTACAAGCTTAAACTGGCTGCTGGTTGTTTGCTCCACTGTTTACTCTTATTCGCTCAGAACACTGTGCACTACCAGTGTTTTTAATGGATTGCAGTGCGGTGTGTTTGACAGGTGGAGAACCTGGAGCAAATAAAGATTCAGAAATGGTTTACAGTATATAAAAAAACAAACAAAATCACTGAAGTAGTGTGTAGCTTCTTCATACATTGGTCGATAGTGCACTTAAGTCCAACTCCTAAAATCTGGGGAACATACCAAAGTTATGGCTTGGGTTTCTTTGGAAAGGTTTTCTCTTCAGTCTTTGCACTGCATGAATTCTCAAGTGGAAGAACATCTTTGTTCAGAACCGTGTTTGGTATGTTTGGCTATACATGATGCAATGAGAAGCAATATATAAAAAGGCAAATTCAGTTATTCCGTTGAAATATGGCTCCTGTCAGAGATGAGGCGCAATCCATCAAAACAAACGGCTTACCCATTCGACTGAACTCATTGTTATAAATCTACTGTCTCATTCTCTGCCTTATGTTGTCTGAAAACATGCAGTCTACTCCTGGGATTTCTTTCTTATGCCATCCAAATGTAACCGTGTGCTCGTGTGTACCCAAATAGAGCCGAAGTCAAGGTTAAGGTTGAGTATGCCATTAAAACTAGAGAAGAAACCATGATTTGTATGCAGTGTGGAATGAACCACTAGCTGAGAGGGTCAAGTAAGGGCAAGAAAGCCTGAGGGTGCACCCTCACATTTTTATGGGTTGGAATCTATATTAATTTCACTATAGCCCTTTATGTCCTCTGCAGTGACATAAGCAGAATGTGTAAATGGTGCAAGAGACAAATAAAACGTGATATGGAAATGAGACACAATAAAGACATTTAATTATGGATTTTTTTTACCAATTACTTAATGACTTAATGAATGGCAGTTATCTATTAATTAATAACCAATAATTGGACTATCCAATTCTATTTCTTTGGGCACAGTGAAGCAAAGAGGTGAAAGGCCCAGGCTTGCACAGGTGTAACTAATAACATTTATTATAAGTGCATGGCTGAGTGATCCTCCTAACGGCAGCAGAACCACCATTAATGTTTTACACCTGTTTGTCTCCTGCAGTTCACACTACAAACCAATTGCAAACAGGTATGTATAGTAATTGTTACAAAATATAGTTTTTGTATCTCTGTAGAAAGTTTTGTACAAACTTTGATGATGAAGTATGTGCACGAACGTCAATAAAACTGTGACCTTGTCATACCTGCGCCAGTTCAACTTCACAAAGACTCTCCTTAGATTTTAATTATTTTTTCTCTTAAATCTTTCTGTAATTGTCAATGCATGAAAAGAGTTAGATAGACCTGTTTCACATCAGCCATTTTGACATGAAATAGGGTAAACCAGTGCCTGAATTTGACCAAAAAAGGTGCCAGTATAACCCTAAACACAACATAACCCTAATTATTGTGGCATTTAACCTTTTTTAACATTTTCAATGTTGTTTTCTTTGTATTTAGTTGTTCTTAAGCTAACTATGTTTATACAGAGACGCAGTTAGGCAGGCGTTTGGGAGTACTTCACCAGCATTGCTATACACATTGTTTTAGATTTACCAAGATCCAAAAACTTGCTTTGGGGGGGTTTTGGGGCATCAAAGTAGTTCTTTTTAAGCAATTATTTTACAACTTTTATTGTATACCCTACAGAAAAAATACTAAGGGCCAGACCTTCGGGTCCTCAGTGGTGGGTACGCCCATGCTCACTAGAGGTGGTGGTATTCAGTGAGTAAGTAAGGGTACTTATGTGGCCAAAACTCATTAGCACCAGTACGACTGGCGAGTATCGGCCCATTTCAGACACTCGGGTAAACACAGGTGTTACCAATGATAC